TCATGTGACAACACTGAAGAAATGACACTTTGCAACAATGTAAAGTAGTGAGTGTACAGCTTGTATAACAGTGTACATTTGCTGCCCCCCCAAAAATAATTCAAAAACACAGCCATTAATTTCTAAACTGCTGGCAACAAGAGTACATCCTTAAGTGAAAATGTCCAAATTGGGCCCAATTAGCCATTTTCCCTCCCTGGTGTCACTTGACTTGTTAGTGTTACAAGGTCTTAGGTGTGAATGGGGAGCAGGTGTGATAAATTTGGTGTTATCGCTCTCACACTGGTTACTGGAAGTTCAACATGGCACCTCATGGTAAAGAACTTTCTGAGGATCTGAAAAAAAGAATTGTTGCTCTACATAAAGATGGCCTAAGCTATAAGAAGATTGCCAAGACCCTGAAACTGAGCTGCAGAATAGTGGCCAAGACCATAAAATGGTTTAAAGGGACAGGTCCCAAAGAAGTTGAGTGCACAAGCTCAGTGTCATATCCAGTGGCTGTCTTTGGGAAATAGATGTCTGAGTGCTGCCAGCATTGCTGCAGAAGTTGAATGGGGTGGGGTGGGGTGGGAGGAAGGGGGTCAGCCTGTCAGTGCTCAGACCATATGTTGCACACTGCATCGAATTGGTCTGCATGGCTGTCGTCCCAGAAGGAAGCCTCTTCTAAAGATGATGCACAAGAAAGCTTGCAAACAGCTTGCTGAAGACAAGCAGACTAAGGACTTGGATTATTGGAACCATGTCCTGTGGTCTGATGAGACCAAGATAAACTGGTTTGGTTCAGATGGTGTCAAGCGTGTGTGGCGGAAACCAGGTGAGGAGCACAAAGACAAGTGCGTCTTGCCTACAGTCAAGCATGGTGGTGAGAGTGTCATGGTCTTGGGCTGCATAAGTGCTACCGGCACTGGGGAGCTACAGTTCATTGAGGGAACCATGAATGCCAACATGTACTCTGACATACTGAAGCAGAGCATGATCCCCTCCCTTCAGAGACTGGGCCGCAGGGCAGTATTCCAACATAATAACAACCCCAAACACACCTCCAAGATGACCACTGCCTTGCTAAAGAAGCTGAGGGTAAAGGTGATGGACTGGCCAAGCATGTCTCCAGATCTAAACCCTATTGAGTATTTGTGGGGCATCCTCAAAACAGAAGATGGAGGAGCACAAGGTCTCTAACATCCACCAGCTCCATGATGTCGTCATGGAGCAGGGGAAGAGGACTCCAGTGGCAACCTGTGAAGCTCTGGTGACCTCCATGCACAAGAAGGTTAAGGCACTGCAGGAAAATAATGGTGGCCACACAAAATATTGACGCTCAATTTACACATTTTCACTTAGGGGTGTATTCACTTTTGTTGCCAGCAGTTTAGACATTAATGGCTGTGTGTTGAGTTATTTTGAGGGGACAGTACAATTTACAGTTATACAAGCTGTACACCCACTACTTTACATTGTAGCAAAGTGTAATTTCTTCAGTGTTGTCACATGAAAAAGATATAATAAAATATTTACAAAAATGTGAGGGGTGTACTTACCTCTGTAAGATACTGTATATTGGTGCAGAGGAGAGCTGGATTTTAGAAGAAGAAAAAAAAAAAAAAAAGTGAGCTTAACCTTTAAGCTGAAGTGAACTCACTGAGACAGAACATTTTATAGGAGGACTTTTACTTAAAGTAGAACAATAGGCAAAAATTTCTTTCCTCCATTTTGGATAGAGCAAGGAAGGGTTATAACCCATCAGATTTTTTTTTCGCCACCTGTTTGAATATGCAGGGATTTTCTCTCACTTCCTGATTGGCTTTGGGACAGTAAGTGAAGGGAAATCTCCAAAATGAGAGAATCCCTTGCGGATCCCCCCAGGTCACCAAAACTAGTTTCCCCATCTGAAGATTCCCCACTACTTTTTTTTTTTTTTTTTTTTTTTTTTTGGGGACAACCCAAAATTTGGGATATTTTTACTTTCACTTTCAATGATAATGGCAAAACAGGACAAATAGGAAGGATGAATGTCCCTAACGGGAGAACAGACAGCAATGAAAACTGACAAGTGTTCCAGTCCCTCGCCAACTCTATCCAAAACAGAAAACTTAAAAAAAAAAAAAAAAAAAAAAAAGTTATACTTTAACTCTATGGACTAAAGATGACAAACAAGGGGATTTAATAAAAGTTATGACCGTGAAGAATGTCTTATTACAGCATCTCATTCAGTTGATTTTGCCTCTCCTTGCTTCCTGTTTGGCAGAACAAGAAAGGTGTTTTTAATGGGGACACAGACAAGTCTAAAAAAATACACTCGGCACCTGAGAAAAGGTTAGTACATGTATCATGTACATAAATTCATAAAGCCAATACCAACACAACATTAAAGATCATGGCAAATACCAACCTCCCTCCAGTCCATCTTTTTCTACTTTAGTGTATCTGTATCTTTCTTCACAAAATCCCCGTGGCCCAGTGTTAATTTTGATGTCAAATTTGGGTTTAGTCTTAAATCAATCTGGAGTAAAATGCCATTTTAGTTTTAGTCATATTTTAGATATGAATTGTTTGAGTTAGATTTTAGTTGACTAAAATGTACTGGAGTTTAGTCTACTAAAAGACAATGGGTTTAGTTAAATTGTAATGCAATATATAAGCATTTCTCTAGAATTGCCAAACATTATATACCGCTGGAGTAAATATCTAATAACATTATTTATGGTATTAAGGTTTGAACACGCAGTAAAAGACACAGATTAGCCATTGTGATATGAAAAACTTTACAAATAAAACAAAGTTTAATGAACAAAAATATTAATTTTGACAAACAGAAATGCAACTTTAAAATATAAAAACAAAAACCCAAACTGTAAGGCCATTGCCCATATTACCAACATTAAATGAAAAAAATAAAAGCCTTTCTTTTTTAAGTAGCTTAGTAGATGCCCCCTAAGTGCAGTGTTAATTCTGCTGTCAAACTTCGATATTATTATTATTAGGAGTGTGCGTGTTGGGTGGTACTTGGATATTAGGTCAGTGATGTAATTTGGGGCAGTATGGTGGACAGCTTTGTACGTCAGTGTTAGGATTTTGAATTTGATCCGTTGCACAATCGGAATCCAGTGGAGGGATTGGCAGAGGGGGGTGGCGGAAATGGAGCGGTTGGTAAGGTATTGTTTTAGTCAGTCATAGTCTTGACTAAAATGCCGTTTTAGTTGTATTTTAGTCGACTAAAATAGTGTTAATTTAGTCTTTAACCATTTCAATACCGGGCACTTTTACCCCCTTCCTGCCAAGGCCATTTTTCAGGTTTCAGCGTTCTCACACTTTGAATGACAATTGTGCGGTCATACAACATTGTACCCAAACTAAAATTTTATCATTTTCTTCACACAACTAGAGCTTTCTTTTGGTGGTATTTAATCACCACTGGGATTTTTATTTTTTGCTAACAAAAAAAAAAGACCAAAAATTTGGAAAAAAAACCCAACACGTTTTTCTTTGTTTCTGTTATAAACGTTTACAAATAAATAATTGTTCTTCATAAATTTAGGCCGAGATGTATTCTGCTACATGTCTTTGGTGAAAATAACCCAAATTAGGATGTATTTTTTAGTTTGTAGGAAAGTTATAGAGTTCACAAACTATGGTATAGATCTGAAAATTGATCAATCCTGAAGTACTGACGGCCAATCTAATTTCTTGAGGTCCAAGAATGTCAGAACAGCACAGATATCCCCAAATGACCCCTTTTTGCAAAGTAGACAGTCCGACGTACTTCATAAGAGGCATGGCGAGTTTTTTTGAAGTTGTATTTTTTTGTAAATTTTTCGGAAAATTAAAAAAATTATTTTCACTATTTTTTTTTGCATACTGTCACCAGTGCAGTACAGCCTCATCATATAACTGGCATGGAGGTGATCAGGGACACTGACTGGTGACAGTATGAAAAAAAAAAAAAAATAGTATTTTTTTTTTTTTTATTTTAAATGTATTACTTTTTTTCTTTTAAGGTTTTTTTTTCATATTTCACTATGACCAAAGTAGTACAATTTTACCATAGTAACATTGTACTACTTTGGGGAAGTGATCAGTATTTTTTTTTTTTTTTTTTTTTTTTTTTTTACACAATTTGCTTATAGCAAATAATTACTTTGCCATAAGCAAGCATTTACCTGAATGACATCGATTCATTCAGGGCTTTTTTTTTTTTGTGCTTAGCTGTGATTTGGCCACGGCTAATCACATGACACAGCTGGGCTGTGATTGGCCCAGCTTGTGCATGTGATCGCTGTGACCATTCACAGCTACACACACACTATACAATGGATGGCATGACTGAAGTCATCCATTGTATACAACTGTCATGTGACCTGCTGTGATTGGTCACAGCATGTCATATGGTACCGGCAACGGGGCCGGTACTCAGATCTGTCATCGTCCGTGTCCGAGGTACATGGCCGGTGACAGATGCAGGCGCGCATATGGGAGGAGGACGGGAGGACGCCATATGGCGTCCACCCAGAACGCTGAGGGATTTTGCCGGCTGCCAAACGGCCATTGGCCAGGCGGCAAAAGGTTAAGTACATTACAGGCTCTCAATCCTACATTGCTAAAAAAAAAAAAAAAAAAAAAAACACACACACCTGAGGCATGCTGGGAGTTCAAGAAATTATGTTCATGCAGGGTTAGGTTTTACCCACGGGGATGCATCACTGTACCGGCAGTCCCATTGCCATCATCTGGGATCAGGCTCCTCCCACGGCCCCAAATGCAGCCAGGAGCTTTGCATTCACATGGATGTCATGTTGGAAGCAGATGTGCCCGTGCAGTTGCTGAGTCCCAACTGACAGCTATGAGACCGCTGGAATGGGGATGCACGCAACACCTGTGATGGTAAAACATTAATAGCACTTTTAGTGTGTGCATTCCTTCAGTTTAACCCATATTAAAAAGGTATGTGTGAGACAAACATTAGCAAAACTATTTTAAACAATCTCATGAAATGTTTTACTTACCAGATGCGACATCATTATTTTTTTCTACCGTCTCTACGTGCAGATCAGTAAAATGCTTGATGCAAAATCTATTATCAATCTGATATAACAGTGCTGGGCAAAGGTAAGCAAACTGATCTGGTGAAATTGGAGAGTCTGTTTTCAGCCCATAATAATAAAGGAGCTGGGTGGCATTTAAACACTGGAAAGAAAAGCAAAAAGAACAATTTAGGATTAAATTAGAAATAAAAAGGCAAACTTAAAATTGTATGTTCTCAAAAATTTAAAATCTAGGTCTTCAGTTATTCCTACAGCTTTAAAAATGTTACCTGTAAATTTTTATTGTGCATGTTGTTGCAAGATACCTGGTGATCCTGACTGTTCCCGTGTTCCTGTTTCTAACTGACCACGCAAATCACAGAAGCAGATCTGTCTTTTCGTGGATACTCTGGCATACCGGTTAGGAGATACAGGATGATGTTCCTATGCACTGTGTACTTGTATTCCCTGTAGCCTGTTTAGCGCGGGGGTCAGCAAGCCATCAATCGTAGGCAGCCAAGTGGTAGATCATGAACACGGCCCTGCTTCCCCCCAACCTCCACCACTCTCATCTTCACTGGAGAATGGGAGGCAGAACAGTATTGGATGGAGGGTGGGAGCTGGAACTGCCTTAGTTAACCTTTTGAGTAAACCAGGTGATTGGTTGCTAGGATGCTGGGCAGTTAATATGAAAAGTCCAGTACTGTGCTGCCGCTCGCCCTGTTGTACACACGCTGTCAGCTAAGAGAGGGCTACCTACACAGTGATGTGTGTTTGTGTTGGGGGGGGGGGACAATGTCAAAGGGGACAGAGGACATTATTGTATGGGTGGGTGGGAGCACAGCACACTATGTGGCTCGAGGGTGATGTGAAGTGGGGAAGAGGACACTACTGAGGGGGTGGGGAAGAGGATACTACTGTAGAGGAAAGTCATAAGAGGGGGACAGAGTACACTACTGGCAGCTATACTACCTGTTCTTCATGCCATCTTTTTATTGAGAGCTTGATGGTATTTAAGGGCCAACACCACCAGCACCCCCCCCACACTTGGATCTTTGATTTGATTGTCCAAGTAGATCTCAACTTCTGAAAGGTTGCCTGCCCTCATGCCAATTCCCAGCCCTACTGTATTGACAGCAGTCTCGCAAGTGAAATATATTGCTGTTTTAACCACTTGCCTACAGGACACTTATACCCCCTTCCTGCCCAAGCCAGTTTTCAGCGCTGTCGTACTTTGAATGACAATTGCGCGGTCATGTAACACTGTACCGATATGAAATTTTTTATCTTTTTTTGAGATAGAGCTTACTTTTGGTGGTATTTAACCATTTCAATACCGGGCAATTTTACACCTTCCTGCCCATTTTTCACGTTTCAGCGCTCTCTCACATTTGAATGACAATTGCGCGGTCATACAACATTGTACCCAAACTAAAATTTTATCATTTTCTTCTCCACACAACTAGAGCTTTCTTTTGGTGGTATTTAATCACCGCTGGGGTTTTTATTTTTTGCTAAATTAACAAAAAAAAGACCAAAAATTTTGAAAAAAAACATGTTTTTCTTTGTTTCTGTTAGTACAGATATCCCCCAAATGACCCCTTTTTGCAGAATAGACAGTCGGACGTACTTCATAAAAGGAATGGCGAGTTTTTTGAAGTTGTATTTTTTTTGTCAATTTTTCGGAAAATAAAAAAATTATTTTCATTTTTTTTTTTTTTTTACATGCTGTCACCAGTGCAGTACAGCGTCATCATATAACTGGCATGGCGGTGAACAGGGACACTGACTGGTAACCGTATGAAAAAAAATATATATATATTTATTGTTTTTAATTTTTTATTACATTTTTTTTTCATATTGTACTATGACCAAAGTAGTACAATGTTACCATAGTAACATTGTACTACTTTGGGGAAGTGATCAGTATTTTTTTTTTTTTTTTTTTTTTTTTTTTTACACACAATTTGCTTATAGCAAAGAATTACTTTGCTATAAGCAAGCATTTACCTGAATGACATCGATTCATTCAGGTTTTTTTTTTTTTTTTTTTTTGTGCTCAGCTGTGACATGTGCATGTGATTAGCTGTGATCATTCACAGCTAGGCAGTAGTATACAATGGATCCTCCCAGAACGAGAGAGAACCGCCTTGGGTCCGTCATTACCTTATATGGCGGGCGGGAGGCGGTTAATGACTGTTGCTCACCATTTTAGTCCTTCACTCCATTTGCTCTAAATGATTCGCTTTATATGCGCAATTGTTCATGCTTTGTAAAATGTAATATTTGTGTCATTCTCAAAACCTTTGTCCTGGGCTGTACACAGTCTGCTGCTTTAGTGTTTTTAGATCTTTTTGTCAGATGTTATGGTATACTGAAGTATAACTACAAGCATTTCATAAGTGCAAAGGCTTTTATTGACAATTACATTAACTTTTTGCAGAGTCAATATTTGCAGTGTTGACCCTTCTTTTTCAAGACCACTGCTATTCACCCTGGCATGTTGTCAATCAACTTCTAGGCCACATCCTGACTGATGACAGCCCATTCTTGCATAATGAATGCTTGGTGTTTGTCAGAATTTGTGGGTTTTTTCACCCGCCTCTCGAGGTGGATCACGAGTTCTCAATGGGATTAAGGTCTGGGGAGTCCTGACCATAGACCCCCAATGTTTTTTTTCTTTTAAACATTTTTATTTCCATATGCAAACAAATACATATCCAAATATGCATACATGTCAAAATACATTAGCAATCCATCAAACAGTAGGAATGTTACATTCTTCCAAGATTTAGGACATATCCATCATACATGCAACCACTGTATGGAAATACCGATATAAACATATCAAAGTTAAGTATGTGGTGATTAGTATCAGAGTCGCATAAAAGCTTTTATTACATTTGTAAACATGAACCCATTAACCAAAAGAAAAGAAAAGAACCCCCCTCCCCCCGACTTAAAAAAAAAAAAAAAAAAAAAAAACTAGCCAGGATAGCACTTTTCCACCAAAAAGAAATACACAATATGTCTGGGGCTCCTCGCGCCTCTTGGCTCCAAATACTGCCAGAGCCCCTCCCCTCAAAAAAAACCCCAAAAAACAAAATACCCATTTTCATCCTTCAAGAATCATCGGGTACCATTTTCCTGGAATCCACCCACCGGGACAATATCTTTCTGAATTTTTCTGCACACCCCCTTGCTTTATACGTCATCTCATACATCTGAGGATCCACATTAACCAATTTTTTCCATGCCCTCAAATCCAAAGTATCTGAACGTATCCATTGTAACGCTATATCAGCTTTCGTACATAAAAGAATAAAAAAATTTCAGAAAAAGTTTGGCAGCGTTATTCATCTGCTCATCTTCAAGCACTCCTAAAAAGACACACCATGGGGCTACATACATTAGTCAAGTCAAATGTGTCGGAACTAAATGCTGTAACTGCAGACCACAAGGGTCTAAACTTTAGAGCATTCCCAAACCATATGTAAAAAGGATTAACCTGACACTTAAGGCAAATGGCTGTGTTACATCGCCCCATACAATAGATGCTGAGGTGTACAATACATTTGATATAAATAACGCAATTGAATCATTTTGTCCCTTGAAAAGATAACTGTACTCACATAGGTGGCCAAGACATCTTTGCAGTTCTCTTCTGTTAACTCTGGGACAATAGCAAACCATCGCTCGCATGTGCGATGACACTGCCTACTGTCTATTAGAGTCAATTCCGCATAGTATGATGATACCAATAAAGTGTGTTGCGTTTGTTTGAGAAGGTTTTCCAGTCTGGTGTTGGTTAGAGTAACTTCTGCAGGGCCATATTAAGCTACTGCTCTATGCCTTAACTGAGCATACCAAAAATACCAATCACCCGCTACTCCCTGTTCTGACATCATTTGCAGAAAAGACTTCAGTCGTCCCTGCACAAAAAGCTGATGTGCATATTTAAGACCATATTGGGCCCATTGTTGTCCCCCCTCCATCTTATATTCATCTTAAATTCAGACAAATTTGGATTGCACCAGAGAGGTGCACTTGGCAACATGGCTAGGGTTGTATCAGAAATATATTTCACACATAACTTAAGAATTGTTTTGGCCACCAATAGTATAGCCATACCATCTTTGGATGGAACCTGTCCTCTATAAAAATGATTCAATAAAGCCTCATAAGAGGTAGCCACCGCCGCCTCCACAGCCGCGGCTGCATTATTCAATTGAGGAAACATCCTCCAGTGTACGTACATTAACTGAGAAGCAAAATAATAAATTCATAAGTCAGGCAAAGCTAGGCCCCCCCCCCCCGTGTATTGGCAGTTGAAGTATCTCCAAGGCCACCCAAGGAGGATTGGAACCCCATAAAAAAAAAAAAAAAAAAAAAAAAAAAAAAAAAAAAGTACCAAGCAGGGAGTTAATACACTTAAAAATTTGTTTAGAAATATAAAAGGGCGCATTGGAGAGGACATATAAAAATTTCAGTAGATATATAATTTTAACCATTAGCCGCCCGGCCTATAGCCGTTTGGCTGCATCAAAAGCGCTGTAGCTTTCCGGGTGCACGCCATTTGGCATGCTCCCGCACATGCGCAGTTTGCGCAGTTGCAGAGCCGCGCAGCGGCGCGATCTGTCACCGGCCGTGTACCTCTGACACGGCCAATGACAGATCTGAGTACCGGCTCCCATTGCCTGTACCATGTGACCTGCTGTGACCAATCACAGCAGGTCACATGACAGTTGTATACAATGGATGGCTTCATTCATGCCATCCATTGTATACTAGTGCCTAGCTGTGAATGGTCACAGCAGGTCACATGCACATGTCATGTGATTAGCTGTGGCCAAATCACAGCTAAGCACAAAAAAAAAAAAAAAAAAAAACCTGAATGAATTGATGTCATTCAGGTAAATGCTTGCTTATGGCAAAGTAATTCTTTGCTATAAGCAAACTGTGTTAAAAAAAAAAAAAAACACAAAACAAAAAAAAAAAACAAAAAAGAAAACTGATCACTTCCCCAAAGTAGTACAATGTTACTATGGTAACATTGTACTACTTTGGTCATAGTAAAATATGAAAAAAAAATCTTAAAAATAAAAGAAAAATGTAATAAAAAATTAAAAACAAAAATTTTTTAAAAAATAAAAAAAATATATA